GGAAAAACAGGAGCTGCTGCTCTGCGAGACTTTCTATTTTTAAAAGGTTAAAAATATCTATTTTCAGACACCAGCCCAGGAAGCTCTGGGGTGAAGCGACGCGGCGGGACATGAGGAGTAAACAAGTGCCGGGACGTGCCGAGCGGCGCGGGGGCTGCACCTCTGGGGATGCTCGTGGAGATGGGGACAGCATGGGACACTGAGCCATGGATGTGGTCACAGGGACATGTGGGCTGCAGGGCTCAGTGCCAGTGGGGATGCTCAGCCCTGAGGGAGGGTGCTCAGCATTGAGGTGAGATTCCCAGCCCCAAGGGAAGGTGATCCACATTCAAAGGGATGCCCAGCCCCTAGGTGGGATGCTCAGCTCCTGCAGGGGATGCTTAGCACCTGAGGGACCCCAGGTGCTCAGTACTAAGGTTGGAAGTGCTCAGCACTCAGGCAGAATGACTTATCTACCCCAGTATCATAGTCCTGGTGCCCTTATGACTCACTGTGTGGGATGGGATGCTTGAATACTGCACACGGAACCCACCAAGAGTGGGATGTGGTACCCACCATGGGAGCAGGATGCAGGACTCACTGTGTCAGGAGGGATGCAGCAAAACCATCTCCAAAATCCCACAGATGCTTTTTTTGCCTTGAGTTTTGCAGCTTTGCTCCCCCTCCTCTCTCCCTGGTGATGCTCTCTGGGCTGGCTCTAGTAGTGGCATTACCTTTCTGCTCATCCCTTGGCCATACCTGGGCACCTTTTCCTGTAGTTTTCCATTGCAGACACCCAACATGCCACACCACAGCCCAACAGAGCAGTGATTTTAGGGGTCGCCTAACTGCAGCCTTCTAGGACCTGAAGGAATGCTGGAGATGGACTTTGGGCAAGGACCTGAAGGGACAGGACAAGGGGGAATGGCTTCCCATAGCCAGAGGGCAGGGCTAGGTGGGATATTGGGAAGGAATTGTTCCCTGTAAGGGTGCTGGGGCACTGGCACAGGTTGCCCAGAGAAGCTGTGGCTGCTCCATCCCTGGGAAGTGTTCAGGGCCAGGTTGGATGGGGCTTGGAGCAACCTGGTCTAGTGGAAGGTGTCCCTGCCCATGGCAGCAGGGGGTGGAACTAGATGATCTTTGAGGTCCCTTCTAACAGAAACCAGTTTGCGATTCCATGATTTTGATGCTTTTTAAGTCCTTCCCCCATTGAAGCAGGCACCACATGGAGTAGCACTTGGGAGGGACTGAGGGGGCAGGAGCCTCCCTCGAGCATCCATAGGGATCTTGGCACTGAGGACTGCAGACCCTCTTCTACCAACATTGACCCCAACATGGCAGGGGGAGCCCAAATCCAGCCCAGGAACACCTGCACCTTGCATGCACCTCATTCCCCACAGCCAGGGAGTGCTCCAGGCTGGGGGAAGTGGCCTAGAGGAAAAGGCCTCGGGGTGCTGGTGAGAGCGGATGAACATGAGCCCAGGTGGGCAACAAGGCCAATGGCACCTGGATTGTGTCAGCCATGGTGTGGGCACAGGCCCAGGGCAGTGCCCATCCCCTGTGCTGGCACTGCCGAGGCACCTGCAGTCCTGGGGGCAGGTCTGCGACGCTCATGATAAAAAAGGACATCGAAGGGCTGGAGAGTGTCCAAGGGAAGGAAATGGAGCTGGGGAAGGGGCTGAAGCACCAGGAGGGGTTGAGGGAGTTGTGGAGGCTCAGCCTGGAGAAAAGGAGGCTCAGGGGGAACCTTCTCACTGTACAACTTCCTGACAGGAGGTGCAGCCAGGTGGGGATCAGGCTCTGCTCCCAGAGAACAAAGGACAGGACAAGGGGAAACAGCCTCAAGGTGTGCCAGGGGAAATATAGGTTGGATATTAGGGAAAATATCTTCTCAGAAAGGGCTGTCAAGCATTGGAAGGGGCTGCCCGGGGCAGCAGTGGAGTCACCATCCCTTGAAGTGTTCACGAAACCACGGGCTGTAGCACTCAGTGCTCTGGTCTCGCTGACTAGGTGGTGATGGTTCACAGGTTGGACTTGATCTCAGAGGTGTTTTCCAACCTGGATGATCCCATGCCCCACAGCCCTGACAAGCACTCGCTCTCCCTGTGCCGGCGCTCAGCCTGGTTGAGCTGTGTTTTGCTTCCTTATAAGGCCCTGCTGCTCTGGTGTCTGCGGCAGAGCTGGCAGGGCCTGGTGGGAGAGTCAAACAATTCCCAGCAAGCTGCTGGGACACCCTCCGTCCAGCTCAGCTCTCCCCCATCAGCACCCAGGGGCACTCCCTGTGTGCCTCACAGCTGTCCGACTCCACAGCGGGAAGAGCAGGATGGTTTGCAACGAGAGCTGTAAATCAGCTCAGCAGCCTTCTAAACAAGGGATGGAGATTTTTAATCCCTAGGAGCAGCACTTCCAGCCCCTTCACAGTGGCTGCTGGTTCTGTGACACCTTGTCCAACCTGGTGTTGTTTTAGTCCAGCATCTTTTCAGCCACCTGGAAAACAAGGATGAAGCTTCCTCTGCCTGATAAAAGGTTTTCAGGGAGCAAAGACACACTATAAAACACACTTTATTAAATGAACCAACATCCTCTTCCACTGCCTCTTCTGAGACTTCCAAGAGTGTAAATGCGGTGGGAAGGGAGATACACAGGGAAGAGGAGATCCCCCTCCTATTTGGATCTCCAGATATAAATCACACAGATACAGATATCAAGACTTCTATATCTCCAGGAGAAGCTTTTGAACCCTGTGCCCCATCAATACATCCCAAGGCAGGGTATGTGCTCCTTGCTCCAAGAGCTGGAGCCTGGTTCCCAGACATCTCACCCTCCACCAGCCCCCAGAATGACACCTATCCCTAAGGGAGCCTTCTCCCCTCGAACCAGCACCCATTCCTCACTGCCAGGCAGTGCCTGAGGACACTCCAGCCCTGGCCAAGTGTGCATCCAAGGACCTGAGGCACCCCTGGGGCTGGCAGCCCCCGGAGTGTGGGAGTGGGGAGTATTAGGTCATGATTTTTGGAAGTCTGAGTTTGCCCAGGTCCTGCTCTTGCAGACATTAGGTCATTTTCCTGAGGAAGTGGCGTATGACGTTGAGCTGGTTATAGAGGGAGTTGGGGTGGAGCTCCAGCTAGACCACGGCAGAGGTGAGCTGCAACAGCACCAGGACATTGTGTCCTGTCAACATCTGCCACAGGAATAAGACTCCAAGGGTCCAAATTCAATACAGATCCTGGGATTTTGAGGTTTCAGGTGCACTAAACCGCTCAGTTTAAAGCTTCTAGCCCTGGTTTTGAGGGATAAACTCTACTGACCTCACCAGGGAAACATCTTGGGCTTCCACAGTCAAATATCACAACCACCCTTCGAAATCAGGATGTGACACACCATTTAATGGATAATAAGCACATAAGGAAAAAAAAATCTGTGTTTAATGGGATTTGTTACTTATTGTAACCTTTCAAAACACACCCTCAACTCTACCAGGCAAAACAGAAGCACTACAGCAGGGTGAGTTTCCCTTTTAACAGCTAAGTTTTCTTCATTAAAGTTAGAAGGAGGTTGTTCACTCTCTCTCCTGGACATACACAGATCCTCTCACACCTGCTGAGGGTGGAGGCTGCCTCGGGTGATGTGACTTCAACCAAGCGAAGTGCTGGTCACTGTTAGGTCTGTGCTCGGATTTCTCGAGTCCCCAACCCGATCTCCTGGTCAGAACTGTTGTAATACACTCAGCTGGGCCTTTTCCTGGCCACACGTCAGGATCCTTGTAGCTGGGTGCCTGAAGATAGTTGTCCCATGGTCACACTCTCCAGACTTTCTCTCTCTGCCCACCACAAACATGTTATAGCCACTGTGTACACCCATGGTCATACATACATTGGCCTAACACCACTCAGAAACAATCACTGATGACATCAGGCACCTGTTTGGGAGCATTCACCAGCCCAAGCTTCAGAAATGTTCAGCATCAATCCCTCTGGGAAATCTGGCCTTTTACATCTATCAACTTTAGTACCAGAGAAGCCTAAAGGCACTGAAAACAACAGCTTCTTTCTGATTAACAGGACTGCAGTGCTTTATTCTGTTCCTCAGGATACACTTCCTTCAGCAGGCAGATGACAAGATGTCCTGGAAAACAACTATTCTGTTGTCTGGCTTATGCCTGCAAAAAATCAGTTCAGGCAACTCAACCCTACAAAGCCCAGAAAGCAGCGTGGTCCTTCCCCGTGGAGCACAGCAGTACCTGCCCAGGGTTATCAGCAGTGCCCTCTTACCACCCTTCCCTCTGACTCATCAGCCTGCAAGGGTAAAGATCCAGTTGCTTTCCCAATAACAGCAAAGCCTTCCCCCAATTCCTCCAGAGCCAATTGGGTGGGATGTTTTTGTAAAGACAGAGCACAACAGTGTCTTGGTCTATAATTAGGCATCTGAGTTTACGTTCAAGGAAGAAAAGAGTAAGAGGGTTTTATATGCACTGCTTTGTCCAAAAAAAAGATGATGAAAGGCAGAGTGAAAACTATTTACCAGTCTTAGGAGGAAAATTAAGTTCGTTTCATTCAGCCAAAGCTGAAGCAGATGTTCAATATTTGTGCTCGTGCCTGAGGACCTGATGCCTCACGGCTTCTACTCACCAGGAAAGTTTGGACCAATCTGGAGAGCTGAGGGTGTAAAAAGAGGGGTGAAAAAGCCACAGCTCATCTTCTAATTTAGCACCAAATAGGTCAAAGGCCAGATAAAAAAATACAATTTCATGTGATCAGATTAACAGTCTTTCAAGAGTTCCTCTAAATGATGCTGTCAGTTCCTACACTGCTGAGTACAGATGATTGAAATTATTGCAGTAACAAATAAAAAAGGTTTCTCTGATACAAAATCCAGTCCAGAGAGTTTCCTTACACAGTAAGCAGGACACCTTACCAAGGACTGCATATTGTCCCCCTCCAGCAGCAGCAGCTTGCAGAGAGCCACACAAAAAAAGTAGCAACACTCCCAAGCTGGCAAGAGGAACAGGAGAAAGACCCAGCTCATTTCTTCTGAAAAAAGCCCATGATGGAGATCTGTTTGTTGGCTCTGCTGGCAGAAGCTGTCCCTTTCTTCAGGTTCTTCCTTTCTTCCTTTGGTTCTTTCTTCATGGGCAGCACAGGCTGTCTGTGTGCAACTGATGCCTTGGACTTGGGGCCCTCATCCTCACTGTCCGTGCAGGATTCACTTTCGTAAACTTTCTCAGTCACTGGTGGAAAGACAAGAGCAGATGATGATTATGATAGTTAAACCTGTGCACCACACAGCAGAGACCCTGCCACAGCCTTCCCACTGCCTTTCTGCAAATGAATGTTTTGGGTTCAAGGAGTAGATGTCAGAGACAGGAATCAAGCCCATTGCTCGAGGTTAAGCAGTAGATCCAGGTGACTGGTCATTCCAGTCAAACTGCCTCCCCTCTCAAAATGTCTTGGTGGTACCACACACATTCATCCACAGCCCTGATGCAGCCCTTTAACAGCAGTAGCCCAAGGCTCGCAGGAGGACAGTTCCCCCTCCAAACAGATTCAGGGGTTGTTCTCTTCAAGACACAGCTCCCAGCTGTGTGAGGCACCTCCAATCCTGGGGGCAGTTCTGGGCCCCCACAAGAAGGGCTTTGAGTGTCTGGAGAGTGTTCAGGGGAGGGAACAGAGCTGGGGAAGGGTCTGGAGCAGAAGGAGTGGCTGAGGGAGCTGTGGGGGCTCAGCCTGGAGAAAAGGAGGCTCAGCCAGGTGGGGGTTGGACTCTGCTCCCAGGGAACAAGGGACAAGACAAGAGGAAACAGCCTCAAGCTGTGCCAGGGGAGGTTTAGATTAGATATTGGGGAAAATTCCTTCCTGGAAATGGTTTTCCAGCCCTGGCACAGGCTGCCCAGGGCAGGGCGGGAGGCACATCCCTAGAGGGGGAGGGATTTAACAGCCATGTGGACGTGGCACTTGGGGACATGGTTAGTGGTGGCCTTAACAGTGCTCAGAGAATGGTTGGACTCAATGATCTTAGAGGGTTTTTCCAACGTCAATGATTCTGTGATTCTAATTCCTCTTGTAGGGGCTGACAAGCAGCCATCAGGAAGTGATGAATCTGAATGAGGTCAGAATCAGTTTAGCATTAGATGATGGAACATCTATTTTATGGCTAAGCCCCACCATTCTGCCTTGGTCTGATTTCCACAGGGGCCAAAACAATCAAAGTGTCCTGAAATCCAGACAGGACAACCTAGAGACAGGCCCAGCCTGCCCTCACCAGCACCATACACGAGACTCTCAGGGAAGAGTGAAGTAGTTGCTGCCCATCTTAAGAGATGAGAGAAGGTGCACAAAACTTTTGGGGCAGCTTCTTTCAATGGAGATGGCCAAAGTGGGAAGCTGTAAAGATATCCTTTATAAATAATAAAAGCAAACCCATGGCTGAAATCAGGGAACATGCCTGAAGGGGATTGCCAGCTCACTGCTGTCACTGATGGAAAGCTCAGGGAAATTAAACTAGAGTCAGCTCCACTGGTGAAAGCCACTGTCAGACACCAGGAAATGTTGTTGTATCAGCTTTCCCAGCAGTGCTCTGAGATTCTTCTAGTAAGCCATTTTTCTTTAGTAACTGTTCTTTTAAACAGATGTCTTAACTTCCCTTCTTCTGGGAAATTGGCTTTCACTTGTACTAATGCATCAAATTAAAGCAGGTTTCCTACGTAACCAGAGACTGGGAAGACGAACATTCTGAAATCCTACTCGGCAGTGCTAGCAGAAGCTCAAACAGGGGCTGTAAACCAAGCAACCTCCCTCAGAGGCAACTAGCTGTTGCTAGTGAGCAGTCAGTGAGCAGCCTTCACAGACCTCTGGCCACTGAGTGAGCTTTAAAACTTACTGTGTTGTCACCCCGACAGGAACTGCTGGTAACTCCCAGAATGTGCAGTTAATCCCCTCCAATTGCAGGATAACATAGTTTAGATCAACTTTCTTTGAATGCCATCTCAGCTGAACTGAAAAAGTCTGCATGTGCAGCAGCTATGGGCACAGAGAGTTAGTGATGCCTCACTCACAGTCACACGGTCACTCCAATGATAGGAGCTCTGAAATGCTGTAAAACAAACTCACCTCCAATGCACATGTCTATATTCCCAATATTCAAGCTCAGGTGTGTCCTTTCAGGCTTCAGAAGGTGCAAGGCAGAAATGAAGTAGCTTGAACCTCAGTAATTCCCTTTGCTATAGACTACAGCAGGCACTCAATTCATGGAATCCCTGTTGATGCGTCTTGTGCTTAACTCCACACAGACTTTAATTGCTCAATTTCCCTCACGGCTAATCCCTAAATTAGTTTTGCTTCTTGATAACAATTCCTTGCTATTGCAGCTATTATGAAAACCATCACTTAAAATACTGGGGAGATATAAAGCACAGCCTCGTTCTAATGGCAGGATTTAATGTTTCTTAAAACTTAGTCCTTGTTTTAAAAAAAGACATCAGGGAGAGGGGAAAACCTCCTAAATTTCAAAGGATAACAACAATTTACACTAGTCTGAGAGATCTGTAAGTTATTTAGCCTTCCAATTATTAGGCCCGTGCATGGAAAGGGTGGGGAAGGGAAGGGAGGAGAGAACTTAGACAATAACCAGACAGCACGTCCTGCACAACAGGCTGGAGAGAAAGCAGGGAAAGTAGCATCTCCTCACTACCCAGTTCCTCAGCATCCCTCCCTGTCCCCATCCTAGAGGATCTGCCTCCCAAGGGCACAACAGGGGCTTCCATTTCCCTTGTCATGAAATGGATATGAACTGTAAAAACAAAAGTCTGGGTTTCCCAAGGGATTGTTAAACCCTGTGGGGGTGAAGAGCAGAGCAAGGCAGGCAATATTCCAGGCCTGGTCTGCTTGGAAACAGAGAGAGAGCAAAGCACTGTTTGCTGGAAGCTGAACCTGGAACAGTCATTCCTGCGAGCTCTGGATGCAGAGCTTGTTCACCTCAACTCCCTAGCTAAGGCTGTTCTGTTCCATTTTGCTTCCAAGTGTTTTAATGGTTCTGTCTGGGATGGGAGAGCAGAACACCCCATAAGGGAACGAGACAAAGGCCATCAGCAACTTTGTGCCAGTGCAGTTATTTGACAGAAATGCAGTACTTGGGATCTCAGCTCCTAGTGCAGCCAGTTGCTGAGTGCTAGCTTTGTGTTTCTTTAAAGGAGACACAGCAAGCTAATAGGAAACATAAGATCCAGCTCTGCAAACAGGTGCAAACAGACACAAGCTGAGTCAGGGCCAGGCAGCTCCAGAGCTGGGCCAGGCTCAGGCACCACTACAGACCTGTACCACAGGACCAGAGCTTCTCCCAGAACTGGCTGAGCTCCCCTGACATCCTCTCAGGTCAGGGGATGGAGAATGTTAAGCATCCTATAAAACTGAGCTGACAACAGCATTACAAAAAACACATTCCATCCTCTTAAGTGTTTAAAATGTAAAAAAAAACCCAAACAAACCCAACCCAAATGAAGATATTCTGAACTTCTGCAGTTCCACTCAACGTCAGGACACAGAGGAAACAAATACAGTGGTGTCATGCAGCTTCCTCCAGGTCACAGGAGGAAGCAGTGTCCAGTCAGGCTGAAATTCCAGGAAGGCTCTCAGGACTCCCTTCCATTCTGAAAGCAGAGCCACCCTTAGCAGAAACAGAAATCCTCTGAAGTACTTAAGCCCTAACTTATTCTCTGTTTATCTGAGATACTTAAACTTTCTTTAACATATAATCAAGCTCTGCTGCACAGCTCTGGATTTATCTCCAAAAGAAAACAAAACAACCACCAAACAAAACCTCAAACTTATCTCAGCCAGAATTTATCCCAAACTTTCAGCCTCTTTCTGCACGACCTTTAGAAGTTTTGGAGAGCGGAGTAAGTGAAGGTGGTGCTCACGCTGGCAAGCGGAAAGGGAACAGAACTGAAAGAAAATCTGTGAATAATCAAAAAAGGGTAAGGATTCAGCTATGGCTCCCTGAATCCTTACCCAGGCCTTCACCAGAAGGGCAGTTACCTCATCTGGAAGCATGAGTGGGAAGGGGAATAACAGAGATTTTGTGAACCTCTTTCTCAGGCTGGGAGAGGCCTGTAAAAATCATCACCAGAGTGAGCTCCACTGAGGTGTAGAGCACAACAAGTCTTACCCATGCAGCCTTCTTCTTCATCAATAAACATCTTGGATTTCAGCACACGCTTCCGTTTCCTCTTCCTCCCTCCAGCTGAAACCTGAGGGACATTGCAGCATTGTGAGAAATCAAGAGTAAGGGTCTTGTCCATGCACATAAGTGTCAGCCCCAGATGTGAAATTAGTCTCTCTAATGAAGATAAGCTGATAATAACTAATTTTGTCCTTTCCCAGGATATCATAGTCAAAATACAGCCTCAATGAGACAGTGAGTGCTCCTGTCTGCCAGCACAGGGAGCACATTCCTCCTTGGGGAGTGAGAGGTTTGGAAATGTGTTTGGTTATGTGAGAAGGTGACACTGAGGATGTCCCATCACACCTCCAAAGAATGAGGACAGGACAAACTGCTGTGCTTTCATAGAATCACAGTATGGTTTGGGTTCGAAAGGACATTTAAGCACATCCAGTTCCATCCCCTGCCATGGGCAGGGACACCTTTCACTAGACCAGGTGGCTCCAAGTCCTGTCCAACCTGGCCTTGAACACTACGAGGGGTGGGGCAACCACAGCTTCTCTGGGCAACCTGTGCCAGTGCCTCACCACCCTCACAGAATTTCTTCCTAACATCTAATCTTACCTATAAATTTCCCTTCTTTCAGTAAAACTACACATATTTTCTCAGCTCAGAGATCAAGTTATTGCCAATCATGGCCCACTTCTCCCTCATGCAGTAGCTTCCTTGTCATACAAGGCTGAACACCAAGAGTCCCTGATTTCATTTCTGGAAGTTAATCACTCTTCTATGCTCTTACCTCTGTGCTTGCAGGCTCCAGTTCAGTTTTCAGAGCAGGCACAGGTGGTGGAGAAGGAGCTTTCTCTTCCTCAGGTGTGGGAGATGGTGGGACATCTGCTAAGAAGATGAACACCTTGAGAGCACACAGGTCTAATGGCTCCTTGCAACTCCTCTTTTGTCTCAGACAATTTCATTTAGCTCTGAGCAATTGCTTTTAACCTGTATTTAGATCAAGGTTTATAATTTCTCATTTGGATTTGTTGAATTCAAGCCAGGACAAATCATCCAAAGTGGTCAGAGACAGCTCACCCTGTGCTAAGGTGCCACATGCTGCAGCTCCCAAAGGAAGGAGGGTGGGATAGGATGGGAGAAGTGCATCTGGGTGCATTTTGGTAAGCCAAAAAGATCTGTTCCACCAAATGACACTTTGAAATCGAGCACAAAAACTGGCGTGCTTTAGCCATACATTTCACTTGCTCCTTAAAAAGTGTCTGTAATTTGTTTAGAAACTGAAAGACTCGGGGTGTGCTAAAACAGCTGTTGTTTCACTGGTGGTACTACACATCCCAAACAATCCATGCTGTTAGCTTAATCCAAGAATTAAGTGCAGTATACTATTACCCAACCTAAAAGATTGTTAAGGGACAAGCTTTTCTGTGAAGAAAAAAGCCCCAAACACAAAACCCCAAATCACTACAAAAAATGAAGCCCATTCTCTCATTGTGTCATCTCCTTGCTCTCCTCTGCAAGCAAGGATAGGGCCACTGGAATCTGTTCAATGCCAAAACTGACTGAACCTTCACAAACTGGTATGGAGCAAAATGAGCTCTGGAGCTTCTACCAGCAATGTCAAATGGGGCTTCAGTGAGACAAGCAGGGCTTGTAGGCAAAGAAGCAAGGCAGGGTGACCCTTCTGAGGGACTGGCAGGGGGACAGAGTTGTGACAGCTAAGAGAACTGAGTGCAGGGCCAGAGGGGAGCGAGCAGCACCTTGCAGCAGGCACTGACTCATTTATACAGCTTGAAGGAATCCTCTCCACATCCAAGTGTGAAACACTGCCACACACCCTCAGACATGAGGGAGAGCTAGGAATGTGGAGGGAGAAACTCCTCATCTGACCTATTGCTTAAGCACAAAGAGGATGTCACTGACAGGAGGACAGAGTGGCTGCTTGGCCCCTGCTCCCAGCCCTGCTGGCTGGAGCGCTGCGCTCAGCCTGCTGCCGCCACACGGATTCGGGATCTGTAGTTGTCCCTTCCCATTAGGTCAGTGTGAAGAGTTACAGCCCTGCCAGGCACGTGGCCAGCTGACCTTCAGAGGTTAAGAAGGGCTCAACTGAAGCAATGGTTGGTTGCCAAGGCCAAATAATAAATTACATTCTTCAAACAAGGACTCAGCCTCCTAAACTACTGCAGTAAGTAAGTAAGGGAATGCAAACAGAGCCGGATAACATGACTCGGGATTTCACCTTGCTCCAAGGAGCTGGGGCTGGCAGCTGCACACAGATAAAGCCAAACAACATCTCTGCTCTGAGGTGGAACTGCTGGGGCAGCTGAGGAGCTGCAAAATTCTCAATATTTATCACAGTCTCACGGCAACTGTGGGCTGAGGCGTCCACAGACTGCTGAGCACCAAACCTGCTTCAGGTCCAGCCTGGCCATATCCATTTGAAAATGGTTTTAGGAGAGGACAGGTTGTGATCACTCTGGGCCTCTACACAGGCTAAGAGGTCTGAAAACCAGCTTTTGGCAGGCAGAAGGCACCTTCTCCCCACGTCAGAGTGTTTAAGACTACTATCAAGCTGCATCTCTATGACTTTATTATCCTCTTCTAGCCAACACAGCCCTCTGACATGTGATAACTCCTGAGTCAACCTCTAGCTGCTGCCCACAGTTTACTCAACAGCAACAGCTGCATGAAATGGATACAAGTTGGGCAATTGGATGTACCAAAGATGTAAATCCTGGCTTTGTTCAGTTTGCTCTGACCCTGCCTGGAAAAACTGTGAGAAGCTTTAGTGCTTCTGCTCTCTGAAACTGATGGGAGTTTGTAGGTTACAGTGCCACTGAAATCACCCTCCAAAGTGGCTGTAAAACACTTGTCAACACTGCGAAATGCTGCCTGTGTTGGTACAGCTGAGGCTGCCAAAACCTCCTGTTCTCTGTGGGAGGACTTGTGTAGTTTATTCTGGCACTGGAAGCAAAACAACCCGCAGTGACTCAGGAGCCCTCATACCAATATAACTTTTAATGAAAAATCATTTAAATGGAGAGGATTGTGCCTTATGCCCTTCTCTGTATTTTCAACTTGGTACAATGTGCTGACGCTCGGGTAAGAAGAGCTTATTTTGGGCTGCTTTCAGTACCCCAAGAGCACAAGGACTTGCCCTGACATAAAAGTGTCCATACAGTGCTTTGCATCAGCTGTACAGACTTCATTTCACATCCACAAACACACCAAGTCTCCCTGAAAACAACGGCTGTGGCTTTTATAGAATCAATCATAGAACGATTTGGGTGGGAAGAGACATTAAAGTTCATCCAGTCCCACCCCCTGCCATGGGCAGGGACACCTTCCACTAGCCCAGGTTGCTCCAAGCACTGTTCATCCTTGCCTTGAACACTTCCAGGGATGGGGCAGCCACAGCTTCTCTGGGCAACCTGTGCCAGTGCCTCACCACCCTCACAGGGAAGAAATTCCTCCTAATATCTAATCTAAACCTCTCTGTCAGTGTGAAGCTATCCCCCCTTGTTCTGTCACCCTTGTAAATAGTCTCTCTCCATCTTTCTTGTCAGCCCCTTAGGATCCTGGAAGGCTGCAATTAGGTCACCCCAAAGCCTTCTCTTCTCCAGGCTGAAGAATCCCAATTTTCTCAGCCTTTCCTCCTAGCAGAGGTGCTCCATCCCTCTAATCAACTTGGTGCCTCCTCTGGACTTGCTCCAGCTGCTCCACATCCTTCTGCTGTTGGAGCCCTAGAGCTGGAGGCAGCACTACAGGTGGGTCTCACCTGAGCAGAGCAGAGGGGCAAAATCCCCCACTCACCTGCTGCACATGCTGTGGGATCAGCCCAGCACTCAGGGAGTTCTGAGATGGGGCATGTCCAGCCTCTCACCCACCAGCACCCCAAGTCCTTCTCCCAGGGCTACTCTCCATCTGCTCATCCCCAGCATGGATTGATCCTGGGGGTTGCCCTGACCCAGGTGCAGCACCAACACTTGGCCTTGGAAAACCTCGTGAGATTCCCATGGGTCACTTCTTGAGCTTGTCCAGGTCACTCTGGATGGCATCTTGTTTTCTTAGCAGTTACCTGTCTGAACACCACATAGCAAGGACTGGGGACAGGCATCTCCTTTTACCAGCAGCTGTACCCAGGGGAAAAGGTGTGCACCTCTGCTCCAGGCCATGTACCCCTGCTCAGGCTGGGACATTGTCTGGCAGTGATTTCCAAATGCTGGGCAGCATATGGCGCCTTCCTCCCTGTTCCCACAGGGATGCAGCCAGAAACAATGTCACTCAAGGCCCTATTTTACTGATTCAAATTGCCCTGCTCTCTGGAGAAACCTGCTTCCAACCTTTCCAAGGATAAATGCCCTCAAATTCCAGCTGCTGTATATATTGTTATTTTTTTTAATAGTTTGTTTCATCTAACACATATTCTTCTACTTGAATACTGAATGTAGTATTACCAGTTTGGATTCATTATGAATGTTCCAAAGAACTCCAATCTACCTTCTTTCATCTGTTTAGACTTAGGACAAGCAGCAGGACCCAAGGGCTGAGCACAGAGCTAAGCAGGGTGGTTTAGACAGCCATTAGCTTAAAAATGAGGAACAGAACAGCTCTTTCATTTCCCTTTTGAAAGGCAGAGTCTGAAGGATATCCAAATTTGTACACACACACACATATATATACTATAATTTGCATTAATTTGCAATTCTAATGCACAACACAAAGAGATAAAGAACAAAGAGGGTTCCATGCAGGAGGAGCAACAGCAGTGGCAAAAGCCCTCTCCAAACAGAAAGTCCAACTCCCTGCCTGCATCTCCAGTAGGTTAAACAGCAATAAATCCAACCCTACCCAGCAGCCTTACTGTACTGTTTGCAGTGCCTAAAGTATTGAGGAAGAGATCAATGAGGTCAGGGAGCTCCCAGCCTGCCCAAAGGACCAGAGCAGTGGTTTCCAATCCAGGTAACTCACACTTCAGAGGACAAATGAACAAGTGAACAGACCTACTGTGTGCACCAGGGTAAGGAATAACACACAGACTCTGCACCACACCTTGGAATCTCAGGATCACAGAATATCCTGAGTGGGAAGAGGCCCACAAGGATCACAGAATCATGGAATCACAGATGGTTTGGGTTGGAAGAAACTTTAAAGATCGTCTAGTTCCACCCCCTGCCATGGGCAGGGACACCTTCCACTAGCCCAGGTTGCTCCCAGGCCCATCCAACCTGGCCTCAGCCACAGCTGCTAAGGGCAACCTGTGCCAGTGACTCACCACTCTCCCAGCCAAGAACTCCTTCCCAATATCTCATTTAACCCTGCCCTCTGGCAGTGGGAAGCCATTCCCCCTTGTCTTGTCACTCCAGGCCCTTGAGATCATCCAGTCCAACTCCTGGCCCTGCACAACCCCAACAATCCCTTGTTGCTTGTAGTTGCTTCTTGTCTCACCCCAACCCCAATGACTGAGAGCATTGTCCAAACGCTCCTTGAGCTCTGTCAGGCTTGGGGCCATGACTACTGCCCTGGGGAGCTGTTCCAGTGCCCAACTACCATCTGAGGGAAGAATCTTTTCCTAATATCCAGCCTACACCTCCCCTGATACAGTTCCAGCTGTTCTCTCAGGTCCTGTCACTGGTCACAGAGAGAATAAACAAAACCCTTGGAATAAATGAAAACATAAGGCATCACATTCAAAAGCATTAATTGTTCAGGTCCCACAGGTATTCCACAGGAGACCAGAGAGCTCTAATACTCCAAACTCCTGCCTGGTCTCTCTCACAGGGAGAGGATGAGCTGAGAGATTCCAGCCCAGCAAGCATGGGCTGACTTTAACCTCCCTCTTCAGAGCTGAACAACACATCTTGTCATCAGGTGAGTGATGAGGAAATGGAAAGACCAGTAACAGCTTGCAAACATTGAAAGAAATAAATACCAAGGACTGTGGGCATATATATGTTTTTTTATGGCCAAACAAGGAGCTTCACACAGGAATGTGATGAAATTAAGGCTGATCATGAAGAACAGTTTCCTGAGAGATTTATCATCCTCTGGAATAGTGTAGGGAGAAGGGATGCATGCTTGATGACAAAGATCTCTTGAAATTTTGCTGGGCAGAAGAGAAACTATGAAAACAGGCCTAAGGTGGCATGGAGTTAAGATATCCTACAAAACTCACCTCTCTCACCTGTGTTGTAGATTCTCTTAATTTCCGAGCTGTTCCTAAATGAGGGAACAGTTCCAGCTCTCTTACTGGACTCCACCTCCTCACCAATACACCCTGTTTGCTGGTTCACCTTCCCTTACTGGAGCTCCACATCCAAACTGGTGGTTTCAATTACTTGTCCATAATGATCCCTGAATTCTTTTCCTGCTCAGCTTGTTGGATGACAGTTCCATTTAGCACACACTCCCTAGCTCAATCACAACTTCTTTTCCCAGTTATCTATATTGAATGGCATTTGTCACCTCAATTATCCAAATTCCTTGGACTCCGGCCCTGCTGTTCCTCATCATGAGCCCAAATCTTGCAATGTTCTGGGCACTCTACTCCTATCAAAGCCAACAGCCACCAAGGAGACACTGAGTCCCATCGGATATGGCTCGACTGTTTTCCCTCCAGCTTCCCTATTGTCTATTAATTGTTTTGGAATCTTGCTTCCAACACCATCTTCCAAACCATTTCTATAAACAGACAGAATAGATACTAAAAGTGACCTGAGGAGGAGGGGGAGGTCACTTTGTGTTTCCTCATCAAATAAACTGGTTGTGACCAGTCCTACAGCTCTGGAAGGCACAATATCTCTCACAACAGATTTGGGAACCTCCTCCCCACATGTCAGTGTGACTGGCAGCACACTTGGTGAGGAGACAGCCAGATCTGAGCTGAGCTAAACAAAGACTGAATGGCTGAGGCATCTCAGCTCTATGCCCAAGTGCTTGCAGCACAGAGATAAACAGAAAGCTCAAGCTCCAGCCATCTGCACGGTCTCTAGTCCTCTAAACTCTTCCCTCAATCCTTGACCAACAGCCTCGGACAGTAATGTTGTTGAAATCAGACCCCTGACCTACATGCCTGGTTGTTAACATATCTTTTTACCTTCCTCATCACTGCTGTCAGACACAAGTTGTTTGATTCTCTTCCTCTTCTTCTTTACATTTTCAGGTTCTCTCTCTTCTTCATTATCCGATCTGTCCACCCTCTTCATTTTACTGCCATGAAAAGAAACACCTGTTATTCCTTGTGTGTGCATGAAAACATAGTTCCTAATGGAAGTACTGCTGGGAATGAAATCAAACACCTCTGTACCTCTTAAAAACATGAGCATTGCATACACTGAACTACACACTCACCTATACAATCAAGCATAGGTGCCTCTCATCCTGACCCCTACCCAGTTCTCCAGAATAAGGAGGATTTCTTAGCCCCTCTGCAGTTCAGCCCAGTACTAGCCTGGCCAGACACCTGGCAAAAGAGTATTTCTGATCTTGTCTCTTTAGCTCAGGCTCCCAAACACTAATGTCCCCAAAAGCATCCCTCAGAAGCTCTTTTGACAGACTGCTTGCCACTGACTGACTATGAGGTAGTGTCTCAGAATCCTGGAGCCATTTTTAAAGACTACTGGAAAAATAAAAGAGCTTCTTTCTTCCTGATGCTGGCGAGACGTGTCAGACGGACGAGCCTGGAGGCTACAGGTCCATGTATCCTCACGGAGCTGGGACAGCCCCAGTGGCCTTCCCAACTCCACTCTGCCAACACCTCCAGGCCCTTGGCTTCTTGGACAAGACTATCAATAAGACAACCAGTGAGTGCTGACTGTGATGGTGGGCTGGGTGGTGTGCTTCCCTGTTTAGTTAGAAATGGATTGAGACCACCAATTAATTACTCATAGGCCACCAGAGAGCCATCAGACTGCAGTGATTCTTTGTCTCTGTCAGTTTGGGTTGGATTAAGCACAAAGGGCTGAACTTAAAATTTACTTGGAGTGTCAGCCCAAAGTAAACCAGTGGCATTGAAAGCAGCAGTACATTAGCTATGGGAATCAACAAGCACAACTTTGTGTGCTGGAAGCTGTGTACATATAAGCTTGGGAATATAGTACCTTCTCTGCAGCACAGGTGCTCCTGCCAGCCCCACCCCTAGACTGCCTGCAGGGTCTATCCTAAATCTGTGAGGTTGTCTCATGGAAAGCCACCCCCTCCCACTGAAGACAACCTGGACTGTGTCCCTTCCCATATGCAACAGCACAAACGGCCCTGAGGCATCTCCAGCACTGAATGGAAAAGAAACCCTAGGAAAGAATTCTAAGGGAGATAATTTTAGCCAGGTTTAATGTAATTTAGCAGCTGGAAACAGGAAGGGAGCCAGCATTGCATGACCAGTCAGTTCCATGCAGGCCATCAACAAGCAGGTTCATAGATCACAGGGACCCTGAGTGCTACATCCCACCTTTTCCTGTCCTTTTGTTGAATCCTAGCAGACTCTGCTTTCTTCCCAGGTTTCTCTGCTGCGGCATCAGAGAATGACTCTGGTTCTGCTACAGGAACTGAAGCCTTGACTACTTCTTTTTCCTCCTTTGGCTGCTCAGGCACAGGGCTGACTTTGAGTTTATCTGTGAATAAACCATTCAAAAGGAACAAA